TGTCAAATTAAGATGTCTTAGGACTTAATCAGATATTAAAGTTGGCTGGTACTTACTAAAAGGATAAGATGATATTATTCATTCAATTGGAATTACTCTTTCCCATATGAGCTCACTCAATTTTGCAGTTTTTAAAGCATATCCTTACTAAATTGTATCCGGAGATCTGATTTAGCCAATGGGTCTTAGGTTTCTAACCATTAAAAACTATAAATTAGTTCTTTAAAGCAAGCTACAAAATGTTGACCCCTTATCAGAATTGCATTCAACTAAATTAAAGCCCAGCTCATAATTTTATCCTTCATGTTATACTCTTTGTTTCTAAAAACATTAGTTTAAGGAGTATTCATAATGTTCCCACAATGTATGGAAAATCTGTTTTCAATTTCAGGTAAAACTTGTTTCAACAGGCAAATCTATGAAGAGTAGCTATAGGTTCAGTGAACTTTGTATAGATTGGCATTAACTCACTGTTCTACAAGCTTTAGATTAAGTATATACGAGGGGGCTCCAAAATGTATGTGGAAAAACTGTATTATATTTTAAACTCCATTTTCCACTAATAATTTAACATCTTATATAATATATGTGAACATACATGCGCATGTAAACATGGGCATTTATGTATGTATGTATTTTTTTTCATTTATGTATTTATATCTATATGATATCAAATGCAAGCATCTTACAAATATCTCTAATGCACACAAGTGTTATACAGTCACCTAATTCACACATCTAACACATATGTATAATGGCAATCATGTCTTAATATTTAAAATGTGCTGTGGAAATCAGACTAACTTTAAAAATTCCTATTAGGCCTACATACTTGTGGTGTCACTTAATCTCTCTAAGCCTCTGTTCATTCATGTGTGAAATAGGGGTGATGATTATAAATTGCTCCATAGAATTCTTGTGAGTCTAAGAATGCAAAAACAGTATTGCATTGACTGTCACTCATTAAGCATTCAAAATTTGTTAGATAATTAACCTCTGACATAACCAGCTATTCTAAACAAGATACATATAATATATATGTACATATTTTTAGAAGCAGAAAAAAGTCTTAAAGTAGAATGGTCAAAAGACTTGAGAAATTTTAGATGAATTTTAGGATTTCAGGGATGTAGTCTCTATAAGTTATGAATTTATCTGTGTCACAGAAATCAGAGATGATAGACTTCATGTTGTTATGTGTCCGCATCCGAGCAAAATACAAGTTCTTAAGCTTGATCGTTTGTATTATGAGAAATATAATTGAATATATTTGAATAAATGGTGAGTTTAGATTTCTTCAATTAATTGTTTGCAGATTTGATAGATCCTTTGTATTCAAAGGGAATGTGCTCATTTTCAGTGTTTTGTTTTGGTATGCTTTTTTTGGTAATTAAAAATCTCTACGACACAAACTGGATCTATCTTCCTTTAATAGAGGCATTATTCATTGCCAAACCTCCTTTTTCTGCACAGTAGGATCCAGCTGCTTAGTTCGTCCTGACTGAAGCTGATGTGTATGAAGAATATCGAATCTATCTCATCAGGTTTATAGAGGACTTAAAGTGTAGCCAAGAAAATTCATGAGTGGCATAATTGAGCCAAGTCAGCTGTGGAGCCATCAGGGTTCTTTCCACACTCTTCCTGTGCACGAGTGACTTGCTTCCAAGTCTAAATATTAGTTACATGTGTGAATGACTTAAGTGAAAAAAAATACCAACAAATAGAACAACTAATTGTGCATTGGTGATTCCAAAATACTCAATCTCGGTGAAGTTATCTCTTACGCAGTTAAACGAGAAAAATGAAGAGTGAACAGAGTCTTTCCATGGGAAGCATGTTCTTTATTCTGACACAATGGCCTTCCAAATTGTTGGCATTGAAATATCCTTTTGAGCGAAATCGTAATTGTGCTCATTTTATTTGGGGAAGGTGCGTAGGGGGGGCGTGTTTGGTTTTGCGATGGTTTTTTTCTCAGATAAGTCACAGATGTGAAGCCCCCCGTGGGCATCCAGATGCTTATCTGAAACAAACTTGTCCCCCAATGGCAGAGTCCAGAGACACGATTGTGTTGATTTTGAAAGGTGTTTTCGTTGTTCTCTTGCAGGTCCTCCAGCTGAGACCGAAGACCGGTGTCAGGGGCTTGCACAAATCGCTGACCGACGTGGCCCTGGAGCACCACGAGCAGTGTGACTGTGTCTGCAGAGGGAACGCGGGAGGGTAACTGCACGCAGCCCCTCCCGAGCAGGGCCCCGTCCTGACCGATTCTGCTCCAGAACTGACAAGCTCTCTCCCTCCTTGAGCTCAGGTGTCTGCTGCGGGGACCTGGCATCTACAAGGTTTACAGTACATTCGAAAGGAGGAGCCACCGGCTGGGATTGGGCGATGTGGGACAGTTCTTTTGAGAGGAGGCCCAAACGGACAGGTCTTCCCTCGTGGGGGGGTGGGAGGGATTCAGTGTTGTAGATCATTAGCTAGTGACAGACTCGCCTTGTACTTACACAGCTAGCTACGTCCTGTATTTCGATTTTCTTGGTAGGATTTAGGTTAATGTCAGCGCGCCGTGGTGTGGGGGGAGGCAGGGAGTGGGGAAGAGGAACTGTTTGTGCAAATGAAGACCTGGGATCTGTGGCCTTGCTTAATTTTAAAACTTCATGTTCTGGGCCTAATGTCGAAGAAATCTGAATTGCCACCCACCCGCCCTTGCCTCCCTTATAATCATTAATAAATCAGAATATTCTAATTTCTACACACTTGGTTTTTACACAGGAACTGTGTTGCTATGAATTAAACTTGTGTCCTGCTAATAGGAAAGATGGGACATTTCCATATTTCTTATTCAAATCTGTACCATTTGAAAGAAGAAAACTATATTTGTGGTTTGGGGGAGAAAAACCTGAGAGGAGTCGTCTGATCTTCCCTTTTTCTATAAGTTGGTTTATTTGTTTTATTGTGTACATTTTTATATTCTCCTTTTGACATTGTAACGGTTTGCTTTTCTAATCTTAAATATATCTATTTTTACCAAAGGTATTTAATATGCTCTCTTTTTAAAATTACAACCTAAATCAACTATTTTTAGCTTGGTAAATTTTTTCTAAACATTATTCTTATAGCCAGAGGAACAAAGATGATATAAATTATTGTTTCACTAAAAAATGCATCTATTTCATCTGCATATGGTGCTAGAGCTTAGATTAAACTGCATTTTAAAATATTGAAGTGGGGAGTTAATAGAATTTATAAGATCTGAAGACTTTTTAACAATAAGTAAATTATAATATCCTTTCCCCCTATTGTTGGACATGCAAATAAAGAGCAGTATTTGAAAATAAATATTCAATGAAAATAAATATTCATCCCTAACCTCAACTCCTTGGGAAATATGAGCCTAGCTCAGAAGACCATAATGCACTTTGAGAGGCAAATCTCAACAGCTTCCTAACCATGCATGCTCTGTTGTGCGATAGGAACACATCCTGTTTATTGTGATGTCATGGTTTTTAATGACCTTTAAACTCTGTTCCATATACTTGTATAAAATCATGGATATTTTTGTGTACAGAAATATATCCTTTAACCAGTTCACTGATTGTATTCTTTGGCAACTGAAAAGACAAATCATTAAAATACCTTGCTTGTAAAATACTTAATATTGTGCGTAGGCTATGTGGTGACTATTTGAATTAAAAACTGTATTGAATTGTCCAATAAGGGAATGAGGTTATTTGGGAATGGAACGGAGTGGTGTGTGTGTGTGTGTGTGTGTGTGTGTGCGCACAAACACGTAAGATATGCCTCAAATGCTAAGAAACTGAAGGAAATTAAGTTCGTTGTTCTCATAATTTTCCTTATGCAAAAGAGTACGTTAACCCAAAGGAGCAATAGAAACATTTCTGTTGAGGTTTCCCAATTTGATTTCTAGTACTTTTGAGCAATAATTTTATTTCTCTGCCTGGCCTTGATGGCAAATTAAATCACAACTCATTTGAAGCTAGTGTCTATGTTTACACAATGCTCAGTGATAGGTTATGTGTTTGGGTGACTCGGGAAAACAACAACAAAAAACCTGTCCTTTCCTTCATATCTTCATATTCAAGTAGGGTAAGGAAAAATTTATTTGGTGTATGGATTCATATACTTAAATGCTTCCAGATGTAGATTCTCAATTTCAGATACAGATTTGTATGCAGGGTGCCTTGCCAGAGATTGATACTCTACCAGGCATGCTGTTTTAGGCTTATAGGTGGTTCTCCAAAGCCGGACCCTTTGTCTGTGCCTTTATATCACCTAAACCTGTCCTTCCCCCAGTCACATGAAAAATACAAAATGCACATATTTGTTACTTACCCTTTTGCATTTTCATCTGAACCCAATACCAGTGTACTTAACTGCAAGGCCAGCAGTTCAAAGCCACCAGCCACTCCTTGGGAGAAAGAGCTTTCTACTCCTGTAAAGAGTCTTGAAAACACAGAGTTCTGCTCTGCCCTGTGGGGTTGCTATGAGTCAGCAGCGACTCGATGGCAGTGAGGTTTGTGTTTTGTTCTTTTCATGGAAAAATTGTTTGGTTTTGTTTTTAGTGTTATAAATAACTGCCAAGAGATAAACAGATCTGTTTTGGAAGAAGTATAATCAGAATGCTCCTTGGCTGCATGGAGGGCACGACTACGTCTCACACACTTTGAGCATGCTATCAGAAGAAATCAATCCCTGGAATAGGCATCATTCTTGGTAAAGCAGAGGGGCAGCAAAAAGGGGAAGACACTCTCCAAGATGGATTGGTTCCGTGGCTGCAACAATGGATACAACAATGACAGTGAGGACGGCACAGGGTTGGGTTTCCTTGTTGCACACAGGGTCAGAACCCTCACTGTGAGTCAGACCCAACTCGGCGCCCAACAACAACACCTGTCTCTAAACGCAGTGGGTGTTCAGACAGGTAAAAAGCTCACTTTCCCAGCCAGTTCGCCCTCATGCTCAGCTACCACCAGTCCTGAAAGAACGGCTTGATGATGTATTTCAGCCACTGAAAAACCTATAGATCACAGCGGTTGGATCATATGGGGGGTGGCACAGGGCCAGGAAGTTTTGCTAGACATTGGGTGTGGGATCTCCATGAACTGGGAGCCAAACAGTGGCAGCTGACAGCGTGATCAAGTTTTTAAGCTTTACACTGAGACTGCAACAGGGTGTCTCCCTCTTGGCTGTTTGTAGCTCGTATCAACATAGGAAAAACTGTATTAAATGTTACAGAAAATGAACTTTTCAAACTGTGGTTTATTTAATACTTCCAAGCAGGGAATGGGATACTTGCTTTTTCATTAAAATATATATATACAGTCAAAATAAATTATGCTTTAAAGGGAGCAGTTCTACAGTGCTGCCAGTTAGTGAGTTAATGGCATTTGAGGCCTGCTTTTCTTTATTTTTTTAACTTGTTTATCTTAAATAATTCTAATGACATGTAAGAGCCCTGGTGGCATAGGGGTTACCAGTTAGGCTGTGATCCACAAGGTCAGCAACTCAAGACACCAGCCAGCTTCTCAGAAGAAACACGGGGCTTTCTACTCCTGTGAAGAGTTACAGTCTCAGAAACTCACAGAGGCAGTTCGACCCAAGCCTGTAGGGTCATTGTGAGTCAGCATCAATTTGATGGCAGTGAGTTTGGCTTCTGGTTTTATTGGCATAATATTCAAGTACCATACAATTCAATATTCAATCACATTAAGGAGAGTTATGCAGTCATTGCCACGCTCTATTTTAGAACATTCTCTTCTTTCTTGTACTCAATGTTGTTAGCTCTCTATCTCCCCTCCATCTCCCCTTTCCTGCCCCTACGAAACTATTAATCCAGTAACCTATTTTTATAGATTTACCTATCCTGTATTTCAGATGCAGAAAGACATACAAAACACAACGACGTCCAAACCTCAATCAAAAAGGAAGCAGAAATATTAAAAGTGAACAAATTTAGAATAGGTCAAAGGATATTAAATTATATTGTGTTACTTTCTAACTATGCCAACAATAATGCACTTTATAGTGCATGTTAGCTGATAACATTGCTGGACTGTGGTCAGAGCGGATTCATGGAAGGCTTAATCCATGTGGGTACCCTGCAAATGGATTCTAGGCTTCCACTGTCATTCATAGATTTCTGCGAACTGAGGGTTCAGAATTTAAACTCTAATGCTCTTCCCTCCTCTGGATTTGGGTATTACTATTTACAATCCTTGGACTGCTTCTTCCATGTGGACTTAGCTGGGACTTCATTTAGTTGGCTGCTTTGTTTTGAAGGCATGCCTTTTTCACAAAGTTTGCTGTGTCTTTTACCAAAACTTGATCCATGAATGGCAAATGCATCCATAATTTCTTAGTGTTAATGATAGTATTGATTGTACTGACTACAAAGCTTTATTCCAACGCATGATGACCTCGTGTGTGTCAGGGTAGACCTGGGCCCTTAGACTTGTCAAGGGCTGCTCTTTAAGCACTTCACCGCCAGTCTTTTCTTCAGAGGTATATTTGGGTAGAATGAAATCGTCAACCTTTAGGTTAGCAGTTGAATATATTGAACATTTGCATTACTCTCGGGAATTTGGTTTTCTGAAAATAGAATTTTCCTCCCCTCTCTAGGCTGGTGCGTATTGGGCTAATTTTTTGAGCATCGTTCCAACACTTGCTTATTTTAATAATGCGCAATCGAGTCTCTGTTCATATGTACCCATACCCCTATTCCTACTACCAGTCTTAGGCATAGTCTCTCCTATTCTTCCAGAAGCATCCTACCGATAAATAGTGTTGTATTTATTATAGACTTACTGACAACCTTACATGTGTAGATCACATGACCTTGCTCACTGAAAATGAGGAACACTGGAAGCCCTTGTTGATGAAGGTCAAGGATTGTAGCTTTCAGTATGGATTACAACTCAATGTAAAGAAGAGAAATCCTCAGAACAGAACAAATAGGAAACGCCGTGATAACGGAGAAAAATTGAAGTTGTAAGGATTCACTCTTGGTTGAAAGCACAGTCAACGTTCATGGCAGCAGTAGCCAAGCAGTCGACTGACGGATTTTGTTGGAAAGATACGCTGCACAAGATCTCTTTAGAGTATTGAAAAGCAAGGATGTTCCTTTGAGGACTAAGGTGTGCCTGACCCAAGTCACGGTATTTTCAATTTCCCCATATGGTTGTGAAAGTTGTACATTGAATAAGCCAGACTGAACAATTGATTAGTTCGAATTATGGTGCTGCTGAAGGACATTGAAAGTATAATGAACTCCCCAAAGAAGAAGACAAAGCAGTCTTGGTGGAAGTGCAGCCAGAACGCTCCTTATAAGCAACGATGGCGAGACTTGTCTCACATACGTTGGACACAGTGTCAGGCTAGACCCGTGCTTCAGTGGCATCATGCTTGTTAAACTATA